AGCAGGTCATTATCTCCCGAGGGGTCCCAGACTGCGAGAGGGCACAGGCCGGGCTGAGCGACCCCCCCTTCCCCCGAGTGCACAAATTTTTGTGCACCGGGCCTCTAGTTTAATGATAATACAGTATAAGTTTATATGTAGTATGTTTTCTTTTGTAGGTTTCTTCAGTTATTGGCGTGGCAATCTTGCAAATGTCATTAGGTATTTTCCAACACAAGCTCTAAATTTTGCTTTTAAGGACAAATACAAACAACTTTTCATGTCTGGAGTTAATAAAGAAAAACAGGCAAGTATAGATAATATCTCTAACATTTTCTAAGAAATGGTTGGTTTGTCTTACGTATGATGGGAGGATGTGCTCAAGTGGTAAAAAAATATTTAAAGCAGTTACTGTTAACACAATATTTCTAAGTTATAGAATTTATATGTGAAAACCACAACTTTTACAAATTTCTTTGAACACAGTTTTAATATTTAAGGCATCTCTTGCCTCAAAGCAGTATTTCTCTGAATAAATATTAATTTTAATGTAATTATATTTTATAATCACTACTACACTAGAAAAATTTAGCATTTTGTCTGCTTTTATTAAGCAAAAAAGAAAAATCAGTCAAGAGGTATGTATTTCTGCCCTAGCTGGTTTGGCTCAATGAATAGAGTATTGACCTATGGACTGAAGGGTCCCAGACAAGGGCACATGCCTAGCTTGCAGGTTCTATCCCCAGTAGGGGGCATGTAGGAGGCAGCTGATCAATGATTCTCTTTCATCATTGATGTTTCTATCAGTCCCTCTCCCTTCCTCTCTGAAATCAGTAAAAATATATTTTTTAAAAAGAGATATGTATTTCCAACTCTGAGGTAATTTATTCCTTAAAAAAGCAAGTTGTTTCTTCTTTATTACTAAGGACCTATTTAGCTGATTTTTTTTGTTTTGTTTTTAAATCCCCACCTGAGGATATTTTCCCATTGATTTTTAGAGTGAGTGGATGAGAGAGGGAAAGACAGAAATATCCATGTGAGAGAAACACATCAATTGGTTGCCTCCTGCACCAGCACCACCAGGGTATGGGCTGGGGAAGGGAAGAATCTGAAACCAGGGTTCAAAATTGAATTTGGGACCTTTCGGTCCCCAGGCCGATGCTCTATCCACTGAGCCAAACCAGCTAAGGTTAGCTGAGATTTAAAGTGCATAGTATAGCCCTGGTTTGGCTCAGTGGATAGAGCGTCAGCCTGCAGACTGAAAGGTCCTGGGTTCGATTCCGGTCAAGGGCGTGTACCTAGGTTGCATGCACATCCCCAGTAGGGGGTGTGCGGGAGGCAGCTGGTCGATGTTTCTCTCTCATCATCGATGTTTCTGACTCTCTATCCCTCTCCCTTCCTCTCTGTAAAAAATCAGTAAGATATATTTTAATAAAATAAATAAAGTGCATAGTATATATAATCTAAAGGCATAATTACCTCATGTGTCCACTCTCGCTAATTTGAGCTACTTTTTCTGGAGGCCATTAAAGTATTTTGCAATTTCAGTATGTCAGCATCTAAACTGTACCTCCTAGACTGCCTGGTAAGAAACAAAGGACATGTAGACAAGTATTCTGGATAGTATGATATGCGTTGTTACAGATGTTTACTTTAGAAAATCAGTTTGTAAATCTGGCCTTTCAGCCTTTAGAAAAATAAGGATTTCATACAGTTAGGTTCTGTAGTTTAATAACCACATTTTAATTTAATGTTTCAGTTCTGGAGATGGTTTTTGGCAAACCTGGCTTCTGGCGGAGCAGCTGGGGCAACATCCTTATGTGTAGTATATCCACTAGATTTTGCTCGAACCCGAATAGGTGTTGATATTGGAAAAGGTATGGAATTTTTAGAAATACTAACCCTTCCTTCTTTGTGTTTTGAATAATGTATTATCCTAAAATTATGCTGTAAAAAGTGTTAGTTACAGTCTAAAAATTGTATTCTCAACCAAATGGTAAGGTCATAGGGGCTAAAGATTACTACTTTTTTTCTTTTCCCTTAAAAGAGGGAAGGGGAAGGCCAACACTCTAGTAACAAAAGAGCAAACATAAAGACTATTTATAGCTTACTTCCTTTTTTATTTCCCTGGAGAGCCACCTCCTAGATCCCTCATACACTTACTCTTTCCTCAACTATGACTCCTCTGTAGGTTAGATGTACAGCTCTCATGCTAGAGATTCCCTTTCCCACTGTTCCTATGTATTTTATTTACCATATCTTCTATATTTTTGTTATGCAACTGTTTTGGTAGATTATGTTCTTCAGTAGCTTTCTGAGCTTTCTGAAAAGAGTGGAATAGGAGATAAGTTGAGATCTTGCTTATTTAAAAATATCTGTTTTATCCTCTTAATTCTTGGCCATATAAAAAAATTCTGGGTTTAAATTTAATTTCTTTTACAATTTAAAAAGTATTACTCTGGATTCTAGTTTCTAATATTGCTCTTAAGAAGTCGATCTCTTACTGTTGATCCTTTTGTATGTACCTTTTTTTCTGTTTAATCCCTGATGACCTCATATTTCACAAGATGTATCTTTGTGTGAGTCTTTTTTCTGTAATTGTGGAGGCAACTCATTCTGGAGGCTTATGTTCATTTCTGAGGATGGCAGAGGAGAAAGAGACTTGGCTGCTCAGGGTGAAGTAGATTTTGAGTATCCAAATGCTTCTTTGCTTTCACTACAGGAATAGTACAGTACTTATTCCCCCTAATTTCTAAGTTTTTCTGAGGTTGGAGTCCAGGGCTTTCTTCTCAACAATATCTCCTTCTGCAAGAAAATAAGTTTCAGTTTTCTCTGCTCTACTTAGTGAGGTTCCACTCCTCCACCTCCTTTCCGTCATGCTAAAATTTGTGGATTTTTGTCAATATTCTTCTTTGCCTATATGGCTTTAAATCTGTTTTCTTTACTAGAGGCCTGGTACACGGATTCATGCACTGGTGGGGTCCTTTGGCCTGGCCTGTGCCCTCTCACAATCCAGGACCCCTCGGGGGATGTCGGAGGCCCAGTGCACGGATTTGGTCCAATCCCCACAGGCCAGGCTGAGTGGCACCACCAGTGCACAAATCCATGCACCGGGCCTCTAGTATGCATATAAGATCTTTTGTTAATCTCTTCCTACCCTCCCACTCCCTCCCCTCCCTTTGAGATTCATCAGTTTGTTCCATGCTTCCATGCCTGTGCATTGAGCACCTGCCCCCTGGTGGTCAGTGTGCATCATAGCTACCCATTGAACAGTTGCTTAGGCTTTATATATATAGTATCATTTTAATAAAATGTCTTAAGGGAGCAGAGATTCATTTAATAAATATTTCTTCATTGCTTGCTGTGAAGCAGGTATGCACGTGCGTGCTCTCTCTCTCTCTCTCCCCCTCTCTCTCTGTCACTTTCACACACACACACACAAAACATAAAACATGGAATTTGCAGCTCATGTACCTTATAGTGTAGTGGGGGACACAAGTAAAAAACAATGAAGCAATGACTAAAATATACTGCCACTTAGCAGTAAATGTCATAAAATTAGGAGAAGGGAGTGACATCAATTTTAGATAAGTGATCAGAGAAAATATCTCAGAAAGGATAACAGTCTGAGGAAAAATGAAAATAGGGGTTCCATCTTACCATGTTTAACTGGTAGTCCAAATTTTCTTGTTATTGCTAAGAAAGTGAAAATAACTCATGTTCCTTATTTAAGTTCAGTAGTTTTGTTTTCTCTGAAAATTGGGAGAATTTAGCTTATTTTGAAGGATTATATTCTATACATAATACTTCAATTATTGGCAAAGAGTTCAAGTCGGGACAATAAAACAAAACCAACAAACACTCAAAAACTGTGACACTCCATCTAAAATGTTAATGATTCTTAAGTTACTAGTTTTTAGTTTTGTCTTTTTGCTCTTCAACTGAAACAAGTCATGAAGTTTTTCATTCCTAATGAAAACTAAAAATTTCTAAATTCCTAGTTGTTACATTTCTAGTAACTTCTGGTAATTTTATTGAGCCTATCATATTGCTTGAATTAGATTGGTTTTATAAGAGATTAATATTTAAAAAAATTTAAAGATACTATTTGAAACCTTAATTACTTGTTAACTAATGGGAGAATTTTGATGTGAGCTTTTATTTTGTTAGATTTTTAAGTGTCAATTCCAAATACTTTAAATCTGTAAAATGTTTAAATAAAGTATTTATCTGATATATAATGCTGCTAATAAATTTTAAATGGCTTTATTTTAGGTGCTGCAGAGCGACAATTCAAGGGTTTAGGCGACTGTATTATGAAAATAGCAAAATCAGATGGAATTATTGGTTTATACCAAGGGTTTGGTGTTTCAGTACAAGGCATCATTGTGTACCGAGCCTCTTATTTTGGAGTTTATGACACAGTTAAGGTAATTTGGGGCTTTAGTGTATATTAAATGGTTCGTTTCCTTTTTTAAATTCTTTATTGTTTGAAGTATTACATATAGTATTACATATGTCTCCTTTTCCCCCTCATTGACCTCCCTGGCCACTATCTCCCTTCCACCCCCCACTCCCGCCCCGCACATGCCCTCACCCCACTAGTGTCTGTGTCCATTGGTTATGTTTATATGCATGCATACAAAGTCCTTTGGTTGATCTCTTACCACCACCACCACCACCACCACCCCTGCCTTCCCTCTGAAGTTTGACAGTCTGTTTGATGCTTCTCTGTTTCTGGCTCTATTTATGTTCATCAGTTGATGTTGTTTATTATATTCCACGAATGAGTGCGATCATATGATATTTATCTTTATCTGACTGGTTTATTTCGCTTAGCATAATTCTCTCCATATCCATCCATGCTGTTGTGAATGGTAAGATTTCTCTCTTCTTTACAGCAGCGTAGTATTCCACTGTGTACATGTACCAGAGTTTTTCAATCTGCTCATCTGCTGATGGGCACTTAGGCTGTTTCAGATCGTAGCTATTGTAAATTGTGCTGCTATGAACATAGAGGTACATATGTCCTTTCTGATTGGTGTTTCTTATTTTGTGGGAT